TTTTTTTAGGCAGCACTTTTCCAACTATTTGGCTGTTATAGAATGTAAAAAACTGAGTGTTTTAAATTAAATAAGCAAAATTTTTTTGCTTGTTTGAAGAGATTGTTCCGGTCATGAAAGCAGTAGTAGTTGTAAAAAGGTGTGCTTTAGTACTGAACAAATTCAGTATTACCTTTCCCGTTTCGTTTACTATTACCAACAAAAACTCATTTATCATTTGGCAACCGAGATATGATTATTACCGCCACTCTTATATCCTCCGGTGATAAAAAACTAAATTGCATGTATTTGCTGTTGAAGAATGTTGTTGCTGATGGTCTTTCGTTATCATCACACATTGATGACAAGAAAAAAAAAGAAAAACAAGAAACCATAAATTGCATTTACAAACAAAAATATATATTACTGTTTCTCTCTCTTTTTTTTTACTTTTTTCAAACATGCTTTATTACCTTTAAGTAAAAAACAGTCGGAAGAAAAATTGCCAGTTCTTGAGAAAACAAAAAAAATAAAATGAAAAATGAAGACGGAGGAATTGTTATTAGACAAGCAACGGGAAAGAAATGAGAAAGTACACTGCAGACATACTCACCATTTATTGATTCAAGTGCTTGCATTAAATAAATAGATACATTGCAACTTACAATTGCTAGCAATCAGGTAGTTAGTCAGCAATGAGCGTGGCAATGTTCATGTGACAAACAAAATTTAAATGAAAAATGTGTCAACCTTGATAAAAGGAAAGATTGCATGTGTAAATTGTGTAATGAGTGCAACGCAATGCCATTTAAAATTTAAATTGGAAAATATTTACTGCCTAACTTGGTTTTGCACGGTAATGTCAGTTAAGAAAACCACATTAAAAAAGATATTAAAAAAATTACTTTATATTTTCTAGTCTACAAAGTGAGTCAACCGACCAACCAGCCTGCCCATCAAATTGTTTAGTGTGCGGTTTTTTTCTAGGTTTCTTTATTTGCTTTTTTCATTTTATACCCATTACGTCTTTTGTTTGTCGCTTTTCAAGTGCTGAAAAAACAAAAAAAAATTGGAAAAAAGTAGAAAGGAGAACACCTGGCCATCATTTGCAGCAAGCTGCTAATGCATTTTTAATGTGCACACTACACAAACTTGCCCATGAAAGTAATTGAGAAGAGTGAAAAAAATGTGGGGAAGGAAAAAATGGGGAAAATTAAAAAGGGAAAATGGCTGCTGCTCATTTTCTATCAAACTTATTACTAAAAAACTGCTTGTTTTTAAACTTTGTAGCAAAAGTTTTACTTTTGTTTTCCGTTAACAATTTGTAACTTTGGTAAAAAAGTTAAAAATTTAAAAACATTTTAAAAATGTCATTCACTTGAGACGTAGAAAAAAAGAAAATGTGTTTAGCATTTTGCGACAAATTGCAAGCATCAAGTTTGCCGTCAGTTTTAAATTTGGCTTTGTCAGGCGATTTCTTTTTTTTATTCATTTACTGCAATCATGCATTCAGGCACACAGTTTCAATTTGACTAAGCTAAACACAAAAACACATTTTTTCAATTGAATTTGCGTAAAAGTTGCAAAAAATGCAACAGTAAAAAATGTGTTAAGAGATACAAAAAGATATCAAAAAGAAGTTGTTTGTTTTAAAGTAAAAACTCAACACATTTTAACACACGATGAAACTGATCAGTAGTGCCAGCACAGCATCATCAGCACAGAATCAGCAGGAGAATTGCTGATATGAGATATAATATGCCGCTGCACGATCAGCTTTTTGCAATTTTGAATAAAGTTTCAACCTGATTTGAATGTGTTTGAGTTTGTTTTATTTTGTTAAAACACACAAAATCAATTCGCCATTGACAATTTTTTGGTGCGCCCTCTGGAGAAGAATTGTGACAACTGAAATATAGGGAAAAACTTCTATTGACAATGAGACACAGCTCCGTTTTTTGCCCGTGTTGGAAGGCAAGGAGAGCGTGAGCTGATAGAAAACGTTTATTCAACTATAAGATAGAGAATAACTAACTCACTACAGTGAGATACTCCACTCTAAATAGAGTGGGAGAACAATGCTTGCAAGTTCTAAAATCATAAAGGTTCTAAAACCTAACACACCCCCTGATTTTGAACTTGCAAGGGACGTCTAGTGCTGACGTCATCTTGCTCTCATGCCAGCAAGCCTCGGCCAAAGGATCCGCTCTTGAGGTCACCATCCGGCTGTCGACGCTAGCTCGGACTTGCCCATCAGTTCGCCACCAGACGACTTGTGCTCTGCACCTCATGTCCTGCGCCTCGGCGTCTTCAGTCCTACCAACAACGCCAGTGGATTCTTCGGGGCCACGGCAAACAATAACAACCAACAAAAAAGGACAACGCTGCGCCAAAGGACCACTTGTGCTCTGCAACCAAGTCCTGGGTCCATCATCATCAAGGGGGCCTTGCGTTGGTGATGCTCGCCGGTGACACCTCTTGAGCTTCTCCTCGCGACTTGCTTGGCCATCTTAAAGCTCCTCTCCCTCCTCCATCCAAGATCGGCTGCTGACGTGGCACCAGGGCAGTCCAACGGGAACATCATCACTAGGGCACAAGCAAAACTTGAACGGCTTGGCCATCATCATCCAAAGTCCCGGACATCGGCCAAACTCCGCCACGTCAGCCGATAGCTCATAGAGCATTCGTGCTGATAACGTGTTGGAAGGCAAGGAGAGCGTGAGCTGATAGAAAACGTTTATTCAACTATAAGATAGAGAATAACTAACTCACTACAGTGAGATACACCACTCTAAATAGAGTGGGAGAACAATGCTTGCAAGTTCTAAAATCATAAAGGTTCTAAAACCTAACAGCCCGTAACAAAAATATGCAAGATTCCAGTAGGGGCGCTGTCGTCGTTTACCGAGCTACTACAAAACAGTGTCTTTTTCCCTACATTTGAGTTGTCACAACTCTTTCTCAGAGGGCGCACCGAAAAATTGTCAGTGGCAAATTGAAATGTGTGACGGTAGTTTGCTGATGCTGCTGCTTTTTTTGCCTTCAATTTGTCAACATTCAGTCAGTCAGTCACATTGAGCAAGCTGGTCAAGTTAAAACTGGTGAATGAACAAAATTGATAAATTAAAATATGTGCTGTGTCAACTGAATAGTAATAAAAAAACTCTAAAATAATTTTAATAAAGGTTTTTATTTAGTGTTTTATGCTAGTGCACAGTACCTGAAGATTAATTAAAGTTACTGTTTCGGCTGCTGTCTTTGTGCTAAATGTTTAATAGCTCATGTTTATAAATGCATGCAAAACATGAAAAATTTATAAAGTCAAATTCTGTTGCCGCTATTGTTCTGGAATAATGTCATTTTTATTTATTCCTTCTTTCAGTGCACTTTAATTACATTTTAACTTTGGCTAACTTTTTGTTTTTTTGCTCAACAGATTTCCCCACCACCACCACTACTAAACACTGATACTCAACAAAGAAACTAGATTACTCCTGTGGTAACTGCCTGTGATTTAATGAAAGGAAGAAAGAATGGAAAACAAAATGCTGCTTAAAGATGATGTCATTTTTAACGCAAAGCTACCTCAAAGTGGGCGGACATTGACGGACATTGATATTTGGTGCAGAACAGCTTTTAACAACATGAAGGTGGCAAAAAGTTGATGAGTTTGGAGTTGGTGAATGATCATCATCCCTGAACCACCTTATCACCACTTCCATCACCACCATCATCCCCACAATGTCAAGCACACCCACCACCACCACCTCAGCCCCTCGAATCACCCACACGGCCCCTTCGATGAAGCGCGCCTCCTCGTTGATGCCCAGGCCTCGCCGCTCCGCCCGACCCAAGGACGGCCCCGAGGACCCGGAAAATAAAACCGACCCAAACTCAAAGCAGGTAGTCCTCAGGCGGCGTTCCATGACCGAACAGCTATCTTCTAATTCAGGAGGAGGAGGAGGGGGCGTGGCAGGGTCAGCCGCCGACCAACTACTTGACCTGGACCGCCTGCAACGGGTAACGAGGCTAAGGGGGCAGCTGGGGCTGCTCGGCTCGGTCACCGCCACGACGGCCACCTTTGTCCTGGTGGCCAGCTCGTACTGCCATTTTATGGGCAGCTTTTCTGATAACCTCATCACCACTAACACCACTTCCTCTTCACCACCGACTGTGATCACCACCACCACCACCACTACCATCAGCAGCATCTTTGGCCTGTCCGTCACCCTCCTCCTCCTCTCACTGCTGCTGCTCTGTCCCCTGCTGGTGGGCACCCTCACGGGGCACCTCCTGAGGGCCTCCTCCTCCTCATCGCTTACCTTGAAGAAATCACCCCATTCACCCTCATTACCAACTCCCTCACTAAGCAGCCGCCTCATCACCCTCTCATTCCACCTCCTCTTCGCCCTCTTTGCCCTTCNATTACCTTGAAGAAATCACCCCATTCACCCTCATCACCCTCAACTCCCTCACTAAGCAGCCGCCTCATCACCCTCTCATTCCACCTCCTCTTCGCCCTCTTTGCCCTTCTCAGCACACTGCTGGTGTACCTTTTTGTGCGCTACCTCAACAACAACGGCGGCAGTAGTGCAAACACGTCTTCTATGAACTCCTCCACTGTAGACCATGCCACGTCCCTCCTCTTGACCACCCTTTTCGCCGTCTTCTACACGCAAAGCGTGCTTCCCCTCTCCACCAGGACAAAATTCCTCCTGCAACTTTCTCTCATTGCCGCTTACCTCTTCTACGAATGCTCCACTTTTTCCTCATTTAAAAGTCCAATGAGCTCATTTAATGGCACCGGAAGCATTGACGATGAAGTTCCACTAGTCAACACCTCTTCTTTCTCAAATTCTCTTGAAAAAAGTCTTTTTATTCGTCGAACACTTTTTAACNAGAAACATTGACGATGGAGTTCCACTAGTCAACACCTCTTCTTTCTCAAATTCTCTTGAAAAAAGTCTTTTTATTCGTCGAACACTTTTTAACCTTCTACTACTTTTGATCTATCTGGTGAGCACCACTGCCCATCGAATTGAGTGCCAGGAAGAGGAGGGCGCCTCCTTCAGTGGCGCCCAGAAGATCATCGATGAGCGGATTCAGCTTGAATATGAGCGGGAACAACAGGAGCAGCTGCTTCTTTCAGTCATTCCGGCGTACATTGCCGCAGAGGTGAAGCGGAGGATTCTCAATAAAATGGACGGAAGTCAGAAAGGAGGAGGTAATGGAAAAAATGGAGGAAACGGAAATACTTCTTCTTTAGGAAAATCAAATGGTTATGCTGCAACTGGAGGAGGAGGAGGAGGAGGAAGTGCCGGTGATCAGTTTGCCAAAAGTTTTCCGGCGTTGATGAGCAGCAAAGCTGGATCAAATGGATTCACTGATTTGCTGCCGAAGACGCCGCAGAAGCAGCGCTTCCACGAGCTCTACGTTCAGCGGCACAACAATGTCAGGTAAATAGTTTTGAGAAATGAATTGATAAGTTTTTGATAACCATTTTAATTTTTTTTGTCTAGTTTGCTCTACGCCGACATTGTCAACTTTACGCCCCTCTCTGAACAGCTCTCCTCATCGGAGCTGGTGCGCACGTTGAATGACCTTTTTGGGCGCTTTGATGAGCTGGCTCAAGTAAGTGGCAAATTGATTGATTTTGGTGATTAAAAGCAATGTCAAGAGGTTTTATTTTTTGGTTAGATTTAAACTAAGGTTTTAACAAAAAACAAATGGCCAATTAGTGACTAAGTTCTGGTTACAGTTCAACCAAGCAGTGTTTTTGCTAAGTCTCAGTTAAGTGGCCAACCAATTTGTGAGGTCTTTTTCAGAAGTAGCAAAAAAGTGCCAGAGTAAATTAATTTTTTACCACACATCTTCTTTTACTTTATAAACTGCAACAAATAACTTACAAAGTTGACACTTCAGTCTAAAGTCCGGTGACAGCAGCAGCAGCAGCAATGTTTCAAGTGAAGTAAGTGAGAAGTGGCACTTACTTTAAATTTTATTACCAGGCTCAAGTGCTGAAGCTCTCAGTTTGTTGATAAGATTGACTGCTCACCAGATATTTATTTTGTTATTATTTTATGAAAACTGCTGCTGCTGCTGCTTTCAATTTGTGTTTCAACAGCTGGCGCCTCTGCTATTTTTGCTGGCACTGAGGTTAATTTATTTTTAGTTGTCCTGGTTTAGACAGAGCCAATATTTCAAAAGTGTTAAGTACGTAAGAAAAAAAGTGATGTTTTCAAATTAAATTAAAATTTTCAGTTATAAATTTATCCGTGGTTTAAGTTTATTAGCTGTAGTAGGTGCAAGTTTTCGTTTCACCAATGAACTTAAATTTTGCTCTTTGAATATTTCTGTGTTTGTGTTTGCAGTTTAGAGTTCACTCACTTTTCCCAGAATGTTTGACACAAGCACATTGTGCAAATTTTATATAACTTGGCAGCAGCAGCAGCAGCAGCTGACTCTAAAAACAAATATTTACCATTACATTAGCAATTGAAAAACTAAAAGAAAAAAAAGTGCATTGTGCTTTAGTCTTGCTATTAAAACAAAAAAACTTTAGCCAAAAATCAATCAACAACAGAACTAGCTAGGGAAAAACCAAAAGTTGAGCTGTGTAGTAGTGGTTGGTAATTCCTGAAAGTTTGAAACTGTTTGGAATGGGCAATTAGTCTGAAAATGCTGCTTGTACCTGCTGCTTTTAATTGTCTCAGAAAAAGAGAAACTGTACCAGAAGCGCACCACGTGCACTTAATTGGAAAGAAAAAGGAGAATAAACTTTTACAGCATTTTATTTTATTCCATTGTACGGCTGCCAATTCAATTCAATAAAAAAACCTCCTAATTCCTAATTTCTAATGGGTCTTTTGTTTTTCTCCCTTCTCTTTTTGTTTGCAGGAAAACCAGTGCATGCGAATAAAGATTCTGGGCGACTGTTACTACTGCGTCAGCGGACTGCCCGTCTCACGGCCCAATCACGCCATTAACTGCGTCCAAATGGGCCTGCTGATGATACAGGCGATTCGGTAAGTACACACTGCTGTACAGTTTGCTGTACAGTTTGCTGTACAGTGGAAAAAAGAAGAATTAAACGGTGGAAAATTAGCAAAACAAAAAAAGTAAAATAATTAAGCGGATCATGAGTTAATTGAACTTTAGTAGATAAAGTAGATGAGCCAAAAAATTAAGTTGTGGGTACGAGGAAACTTTTTGGTTATTTTTTCTCAGTTCTTAGTATCATCACTTTTTTGAAGTTGGCAAAAAGAAAAGTTAACCCCGTAATTGAGCCTTTTTTAACATTTGAGCCGGCTAATTAAACAACAACAACAAGAGCGGCAACAGCGGCAGACAACAAAAAGAATAACAAAAGAAAGTTCAAGAACAACAAATTACTTTTTTCTGTTTTTTCATGTTGCCTATTCTTCATCTTCCTGACAAAGACACTAATTACAGGGCTATTGTATCTTATACTTTTTCTTCTTTTTTCTTCTTCTTCCGGTTCTTTTTTTGCTCAATGTTTACCTACTTTTTGACCTACTTTTTTCTAGCACATTCTACATATTTTTATCGTTTTTTCACCATTTTTTCTTTTTTTTCAACTTCCTTTTCTTCTTCTATTTTCGGTTTTCATTCAGACTGGTTCGAGAGGCGACGCAGGTAAACGTGGACATGCGAATTGGCGTGCACAGCGGTAACGTCCTCTGTGGAGTCATTGGTAAATAAACAAAACTTTTGATTGATTGGCAAAAGTGCGGCAACTTTTATTGATTGGATTTTGTTGTTTCCAGGACTCCGAAAGTGGCAATTTGATGTCTGGTCCGACGATGTGACGCTCGCCAATCACATGGAATCGGNTAAAAGTGCGGCAACTTTTATTGATTGGATTTTGTTGTTTCCAGGACTCCGAAAGTGGCAATTTGATGTCTGGTCCGACGATGTGACGCTCGCCAATCACATGGAATCGGGAGGAGTGCCCGGGTAAGACCACATTAAAAAGAAGTTGTAAATGAACTTTAAAACCTGAATTATTTTAACTTCCAAAGTCGAGTTCACATCACCGAGGACACACTTCACCGCCTGGACGGCGGCTTCGAGGTGGAGCCCGGAAATGGCCACCTTCGAGATGCCTACCTGGCGCAGCACTCCATCAAGACGTACCTCATTATTGACCCGAGGACGTCGAAAAGAACTTTTTCCGGGGGAGGAGGAGGCGGAGGTAGTGGTAACCCAAACGATCCTTTTGCCATTGACTCGATCTCTATCAGCGGAAGTATCGCTCCTTGCAACGGCGGCGCCGAGCGGAAGCTCTCGCAAACCAGCCTGCTAACGGTGGCGCCTGCTGGAGAGTTCCCGGCCACGGCAGCTCAATCGTTGACCAATGGACACTCAAATCCAGTTCAACCTCATCATTTTCCGCCTTCAAAGCCTCGACTTCGCGAGGGCTCCAAGCGCTTCGGCAAGTGGACCGAGTGTGGCGCCTCCGGCTGGGCCGTTGATAAGCCCTTTAGCAGCATCTCCGAGTCGGTCATTGCAAAGAATGTGACGCAGACGAGTATTAGTCAAATTGAGGCGGTCCTCGCTCCACCGCCCACCTCATCCTCTTCCTCCACATTTGGACTTTGTGATAACTCCTTTAGCTGGTTATGCTGTTGTGGTGATGGAAACGCCCCTCACTCTTATCACCAGCCTGCTTCGGAGCTCTATCCGCTGATAGGGCGTTTCAAGAGTGGCGCCCTGGAGGCTCAATTTGAGGCCGTTCTCTTTCTGGCCCACTTTCCGCCTAATGTCCTCGCCCTCTCGGGCGCCTTTCTGGTGATGGCCCTCGGGCAGCTGGTGCTCCTTCCGGTGTAAGTGATCTTTTTCCCAAAATATTTTAAAAAGTTGTCATCTTAAAACGATCTTTTTGTTTGTCACCCCAGGACTTGGATCACCCTAACGCTGATCTTCTCGACGACGCTCATCTGCCTTGCCTTTACCGGTTCGGTGCTGATTAGAGCAATTCGACAAAATGGCGGCTCAATGACCTGTTTTCCGGTGATTCACAGTGATCAAGTAGATCAGGAAGAGTTTGATGAAGAAGGAGGAGGAGGAGGAGGAGGAGGTGATGAGGAGGCAAAGATCACCAAAACCAGTACCTCAAATGGCCACAGCAATCACATCATTAGTGATAACAAAGGTGAAAGTGCTGAAGTGTTGAATGGGGTTTCATCATCATCCTCGTCACCCTCAAACTCCACCAAAACTACCTGGTGGTCGAGGCTAAAAAACTGCCTAGCAGGAAAGTACCTCCTTCGGTGGTACCATCAATCAACGCTGGCCAGCTCACAATTTGCTCGAGGACTTCTCGAGTCAATCCGTCTGCATGTGGACTGCAGTTTTCGGGCGTCCAGTGGCGTCCACTGTCTTCTGCTGACCTCCACCTCGTCGATGGCCATCCTCTGCTCACCCCTCTCACTTTGCTGTCTGCTGACGGCCGTTTTCATCCTGGCCCAACACCTGCTCACATTCATTCCCGCAGTGGTCAATTGCAGCCAAGTTCCGGTGGAGGTTGAAGAAAGTGGAGAAGATAAAAAGAAGGTTCTAAGTCCGCTGGACGTCTGCACCGGCCAACTCCTTCACTACTATCACCTCGCGCCGCTGATCATGTTGTTGCTAATTTCCGCCTCGCTTTCCCACTACAAACTCCTCCTTCGAGGGGCGATCAGTGGACTTTATTTGGCAGTTCTCGCGTGGATGCACTTTTCTGGCGCTTCTTGGGAAGCGCTTTCCCCTCAAATTTCTTCTACCTCATCTTCTACTTCCGCTTCCTCCTCATCCATTCCTCTGGTGTCCAGCTTTTCACTGCTGTTTGCCGCCTTCTTTGCCCTCCTTCTCCTGGTTCGAGATCGTCACCAGGAGTTGATCTCCCGGCGGCACCAGCTGTGGCGGGCGAAACTCAAAGTGGAGCAGGAGGACGTAGAAACTTATGGCGGAATTAACAAAATTCTTCTCGAGAATATTCTGCCGCAGCACGTGGCGCAGCACTTTTTGCTGAACATTAGCAATAACACGGGGACGCTGTACCATGAACGGTAGGTGTTGATAAGTTTTGATAAGAGAAAATAGACCTTGACTATTTTTTTGTTTATTATTCTAGGTACAACTCCATCGCCGTCATGTTTGCCTCCATTCCCAATTACACCGAATTTTACGACGAGAATGACGTCAACAAGCAAGGCCTCGAGTGTCTCCGGCTGCTCAATGAGATCATCTGCGATTTTGATAAGCTGCTGCTGAAGCCAAAGTTTAGCTGCGTGGAGAAAATCAAGACGATCGGCAGCACTTATATGGCCGCCGCTGGGCTTCAGCCAGGTCGGGAGAGCTTTGAGGGAAATAATGAAGGCTTTCGATTGCACCGAGAGGAGCACAATGTGGTGTCGCTGGTGGAGCTGGCCAGCGCCCTGAACAATGTCC